TGCTTACCTAGAATTCATTAAGGCTTTTGACACTGTTGCACATAGAAGGCTTATCAATAAACTGCAATCTTTAAGTTTGGATTCCAATATTGTTGAATGGGTAAGGCAGTGGCTGAGTGACAGGCAACAGAGGGTTGTAGTCAATGGAGTATATTCGAAGCTCGGGCTTGTCACCAGTGGGGTACCTCAGGGATCTGTACTTGGACCCATTTTTAAAAATATTTTTATTAGTGATATTGCAGAAGGACTTGATGGTAACGTATGTCTTTTTGCTGATGATACTAAGATATGTAACAGGGTTGATGTTCCAGGAGGGATAAGGCAAATGGCAAATGATTTAGGTAAACTAGAAAAATGGCAACTGACATTTAATGTGGATAAGTGCAAGATAATGCATCTTGGACGTAAAAACCCAAGGGCAGAGTACAGAATATTTGATAGAGTCCTAAGCTCAACATCTGAGGAAAGGGATTTAGGGGTGATTATTTCTGATGACTTAAAGGTAGGCAGACAATGTAATAGAGCACCAGGAAATGCTAGCAGAATGCTTGGTTGTATAGGGAGAGGTATTAGCAGTAGAAAGAGGAAAGTGCTCACGCCATTGTACAGAACACTGGTGAGACCTCACTTTGAGTATTGTACGCAGTACTGGAGACCTTATCTTCAGAAGGATATTGATACTTTAGAGAGAGTTCAGAGAAGGGCTACTAAACTGGTTCATGGATTGCAGGATAAAACTTACCAGAAAAGATTAAAGGAACTTAACATGTATAGCTTGGAGGAAAGACGAGATGGGGGGATATGATTGAAACATTTAAATACATAAAGGGAATCAACACAATAAAGGAGGAGTCCATATTTAAAAGAAGAAAAGCTACCACAACAAGAGGACATAGTATTAAATTAGAGGGGCAAAGGTTTAAAAATAATATCAGGAAGTATTACTTTACTGAGAGGGCAGTGGATGCATGGAATAGCCTTCCAGCTGAAGTGGTAGAGGTTAACATAGTAAAGGAGTTTATCCCCTTATGGACACATGACATGTGTGACATGTCATGATTCCCTTTTATTCCAGAGGTTTGGTCCTTAAGGGGTTAAGCATGCGTGGGATAGGCATAATGCTATCCTAACTATAAGATACGGCCAAGGACTAATGAAAGTATTTAGAAAATTGGGCAGACTAGATGGGCCGAATGGTTCTTATCTGTCGTCACTTTCTATGTTTCTATGTTTCTATATTTGCTCTCTTATACTTTTTTACATGTTATCATCTGAAACCTGAGTGGTAACTATATTCACTTATTTGTGACAGTGGCGCCCTACTTTGTATATACATTTTGAGCTATACTACACCTGTTGTTTATATTGTTGGGATTTGGGAGTGATTCCTTTTTTGTGGCTTGCCTGCACTTGTATTTGCACTTTTTCCTATCTTCCAGTATTTTATTGAATTTTGAAGACCTTCCCCAGTAATGTGAAAGAGTAGTTATAGTATTGTACCCTGTAGGGCAGAGTAGGCCAACAACTATTATACCTTATGCAATACACCTGGCTAGCCCACTTCAAGCATGGCTCATATACATCCTGCCCTGGCCTATTATATTCTGTTCCAATAAAAGCACACCCATTCCTATCATTTCATCAGCATGGACCTTGTCATAGCATTCAACCACACTTGTAGAAGTATGTTTTTACTTTCAATTATCATAATTTTAATTAAGTGGAGGGAGTGAGTGGCCGAGGGGGGTTGGTGGGAGGGTCATATTGCTGTTTCTGACAAATGACAATACTTAGATTTGAAGTACATTAAATATTACAATTTTGAGTAATGTCCCCACTGCTTTTCTATCACCAGAACGAGGCTGCATTCTACCACTTGAGGAACAATCACCTCCAGGTAAGAGGTAAAATAAAAATGCAAATAAATAAATAATAATATCAGATGACAATTACTCCAAACTACTACACCAAGAACATTATGTAGCTAACTGAAATATGAAGATGCTGATACTAAGGAACGTGCAATTACTAATAGCATTTCACAGCAGAAGGTCAGTGGTTAGATCTTGCACAGAAAGCAGCTCGGATCTTATCGCCCCTGCAAGTCTTTGAAGTGTAGTCCACGTAGTCAATTTTTTTTAAAAGTAAAGTCATCTGTGGACAGTTACAATTACCAGCTGTAGTTAAGAATATTGTAAAGGACTATTTCATGACCGCATATTGACTCAGATCTCAAATCTTTCATATATTCAGCCTGTTTTGAAACAAAGGGACAATGGGTACAGCAAAGCAGGAGACACCACATTCTGATTCCTCTGGGTAATATTCTGGTTTACCATGAGAATTACGTATTGTTTCTTACAGTACATTCACTTTATGACTTTCATAAATGTTTTTATTGTCTACTTGTTGCATATTGTGTAACCATTTTTTTCTGAAAGTCTTGCCTCTTTATAGTCTAGGTTGCAAAATGTAGATGAAGTAGAACAGGCTACTGCTGGTCACTCATACACTCAATCTGTATATCACTAGTGGATTTTTCTAATTTTATTGCTCGTTTTATTTAATAAGAGGAACATACATAAGAGGGAGACTTTTTATTTAATCAAAGGAATAAGCTCAATCTTGCTCATGTATTGTCTAGATAGAAAAGATGAAAATAGACATGAGTCCCTCAAGATCAGCCTTTCTCACATCTGTTTTTGCTACTGAGCAAAAAAAAAAAGGGTGTGGGGGGACCAGTTTGAAGGTCTTCCAATTTTGCATCAAACTATGAAAAAAGATCTTCTTGACCCCATGGCTGTCCGATGTCTCCTTGGATCTATAACCTATTACCCCACACTTTAAAAATTATATCCCTGAATATTATGTTTTGCAAGTATTCATCTAATTGCTGTTTAAACATCTGTACAGACTCTGATAAAACCATATCTTCAGGCAGAAAATTACACATCCTTATTGTTCTTGCTGTAAAACAGCCTTTACTTTGCCATAAACTAAATCTCCTTTCTTCCAGTCTAAATGCATGAAATTGTGTCCTATGTATAGCCCTGTTTATGGATAGATTTCTAGACAATGGTTTGTATTGGCCCCGAATATATATAAATGTATAATGCTATCATATCTCCTATGAGTGATGTTTTTCTAAACTAAATTTTGTAGCCCGCCTATACACTTTTTCTAATGCCATAATATCCTTCTTGGAACATGTGTCCAAAATTGCATAGCATATTCAAGATGTTGTCTTAACACAGATTTATAAAGATGAAAAATTAGATTTTCATCCTGAGATTTAATGCCCCTATTTATACATCATTATATCTTACAGGCCTTAGTAACTGCTGATTGACATTGCACACTGTTGCCTAGTTTGTTGTCTATAACAATTCCCAATCCTTCTCATGTGTTGTTATCCCCAATTTACTACCATTTAGGGTGTAAGTACCTTGTGTATTCTTAAAAATTCTCTTGAAAATTTACCATTAATTACTCTATCTTTAATCCAATGTTATACCCAAGAACAAGGATTTTCACCTAGACCAATTACTTTGAGTTTGAACACAAATCTATTGGGAGGAACTGTATCAAACCTCTTGGCAAAATCCAAGTAAATCACATACACTGCAACACCCTGATCTACCCTCTTCTGCCTGTTGTTACTGTAATATTTCGCAATGATCACATTTATTGTTAAATTTCCTCCTTTTATAATATTGTAAAGCGTAAAGCGGAATAAGTTCGCGC